TATCAATTGATGCAGAAAAGGTATTTGATAAAATACAATAACCATTCCTAATCAAAACTCTCAGCAAAATAGGAATAGAAGGGACATTCCTCAACATAGTAAAGGGCAAGCTCTGGTAGCATAGTGCCTAAGGCACTTGATTGCTAACCAGAAAGCTGGCGGTTCAAACCCACCAGCCACTCCTCAGAAGGAAGATGGGGCATTCTACTTCTGTAGTGATACTGCCTCAGAAACCCAAGGAGGGGTCACTATGAGTTGGGTCCGACTCGACGGCACACAACATCAACAACAACATGCAAAAACAACAGCCAACATTATTCTCAATGGAGAGAGACTGAAACCATTCCTCTTGAGTACAAGGACCAGACAAGAATGCCCGCTATCACCACTTCTATTCAACAATGTACTGGCAGTCCTAGCCAGGGCCAAAAAGCAAGAAAGGGAAATCAAAGGCATCCAAATTGGTAAGGAAGAAGTCAAACTATCCCTATTGGCTGATGATATGATCCTATACTTAGGAAACCCAAGAGACTCAGTCAAAAATCTACTGGAACTAATTGAGAGGTTTAGCATTGTGGCAGGATGTAAGAGCAAAGTCCAAGTATCAGTTGGATTCCTCTACACCAGCAAAGAGATTGCTAACAAAGAAATAAGAAAATCAATACTGTTTACAACAGCTATGAAATAATAAATAAATACTTGGGAATAAATCTTACCATAGACACAAAAGACCTCTCCAAAGAAAACTATTTAAAAAATTACTTCAAGTAACCATAAGAGATCTTCATAAATGAAAGAACATCCCTTGTTCGTGGATAGGAAGAATAAATATTTTGAAAATGTCAATTCTACCCAAAGCAATCTATACATTCAATGCAATCCCAATCCAGATCCCATCAACATTCATTAGGGATATGGAAAAACCAGTCACTAACTTTATATGGTAAGGAACGAGATCTCAGATAAGCAAAGCACTATTGAAGAAGAAGAACAAAGTAGGAGGTCTCACACTGCCAGATCTCAAAACCTACTATACAACCACACTAGTCAAACTTTCCGGTATTGGTTAATGATACATACATAGACCAATGGAATAGAATTGAGAACCCAGAAATAGATCCATTGACCTATGGTCAGGTGATCTTTGACAAAGGACCAAAATCCAATAAATGGGGAAGAGAATGTTTGTTTAATAAATGGTGCTGGCAAACCTGGAGATCCATTTGCAGAAAAATGAAACAGTATCTGTACCTCACACCATACACGAAAATGAAATCCAGATGAATCAAAGACTTAAATGTGAAACCTAAAACTATAGAGTTCCTCAAGCAAAACCTAGGGGCAAATTTAGGGGCCCTAATACATGGCATAAATAGACTATCAAGCATAACTCAAAATGTACAAACAGCTGAAGAGAAACCAGGTGATTGGGACCTTCTAAAAATTTAATTTTTATGTGCTTCCAAAGACTTCTCCAAAAGACTCAAAAGAGAACCTACAGATTGGGAAAAATATTTGGTAATGACATTTCTGACAAGGGACTTTTCTCTAGAATTTATAGAAAACTCCAACACCTCAATAACAAAAAGACAAACAATGCAATTACAAAATGGGCAGAAGACATGAATAGACCCTTCACCAAGGAGGATATTCAAGTGGCCAACAAACATATGGAGAAATGCTCACGATCATTAGCTATTACAGAGATGCAAATCAAAACAACAATGAGGTACCATCTTGCTCTCACACTAGTAGCAAAGTTCAACAAAACACAAAATAACAAATGCTGGCGAGGATGTGGAGAGATTGGGACTCTCATACACTGCTGGTGGGACTGTAAAATGGTACAACCATTGTGGCAAGTAGTATAGAGATTCCTTCAAAAGTTGGAATTAGCAACACCATTTGACCCAGCCATTCCATTACTAGGTATTTATCCCTAAAGAAGTGAGAGCCATGACAAGAACAGACATATGCACACCATGTTCATCGCAGCACTATTTACAATAGCCAAAAGATGGAAACAACCTAGGTGTCCATAAACTGAGGAATGGATAACCAAACTATGTACATACACGCAATGGAATACTATGCAATGCTAAAGAATTACGTAGAATCTGCAAAACACTGAATAACATGGATGAACTTGTAGGACATTATGCTGAGTAAAATAAGTCAATCACAAAAGGACAAATATTGTATTAGTCCATTATTGTAAAAGTCAAGGAAAGGTTTATCTATGGAAGGAAATTTTCTTTGTTGGTCACCAGGGGTGGGAGTGGAGGGTAGGGAACACTGTTAGATAGATAAAGTATTGATTTGGTTGAAGAGAAGGGCAATGTACCAAATGTGAGTGATCAATATGGTGGCACTGAGGAAGAGTAAGATATAGACACGTACATGGGAAATACAGACAACACAGACGAACCGTTTTGCACACACAGCACTGTGTTGTCAGTGAAGGCAAACATGGGTATATGGGTGGACAGATGGGTGGACAGGCTGAACTAGCAGGTATGTCTACGAAGCAGGGAGTGTACCCAAGAACATGTATAGGGTTAGCAGAAAATGGTGCTATAAGTTTATTCGTATGACCTGAATTCCCAGATGTATAGTAGAGTTAACAAGGGGCAAGGTTGTAGTACTGCTTGGTCATGGCCAGCTACCCAGAGCAGCTGAGTAGTTGAACCTGTGTGCTCCGGACCATAGTCGCAGGGGACATCAAGCTCATTTGGTATAACATACTACATAAAACAGTTGTTTCACCTCCTACTTTGGCAAGTAGTGACTGGGATCTTAAAAGTTTGCAAACTGCCATCTAGATGCAACGATGGGTCTCTCCCCATCCAGAGCAAAGAAGAATGAAGCAAAATAAAAATTCATGGAAACAATTAGTCCTAGTGACTGGTACACCATCCAATCTGCTGCCTATATGACTTGAGACCAGAAGAACTAGATGGTGCCTGCTACCACTGTCAACCACTTAGAAGGGGATCTATGTAGGAGATCCTGGATAGAGAGGGAGAACAATGTGGAACAAAACTCAAAATCATTTGGAGACAAAGAAAGGGGGGGGGGGGACCATGTTTGCTGGTCTGATAGAGCCTGGTAGAACCACTGAGACTATGCCCTTAGCTGCCCTTCAGGTCTGCAATTGAACCCACATCTGTGGCTTCCAGCCAAATAAAAGACAGACATATGAGTGAACATTTACCTGAGGTAGGTAACACTCCTTGGAGAGGTCATGGGAGAAAGAAGGGCTCCTTATGCACAGGGAGACAGCTCAGGATGCAGGAGTGCATGGAGGGATGGACAAAGGGAAGAAGTAATTATCCAGAGGAAGTGTGAGAGGAGCTGTTGCATTATGGTAAATTGTGGTCAATATCATGAGACATTGAATGTCATTGAGTCCTGAACTGCTGTGGGGAAAGTAAATTTGTTTTGTAAATTTTCACCTAAATCACAATAAAAAAAAGTATGAAAAAGACAGTCAGTAAGCCAAGCCTAAAGCGTTTTTCTAGATAGGTAAACGGGACAGACATCCTGTCAAAAGCTGGGCAAAATAAGCTTCATTAGCAGTTTTGTTTCTACTTTCGCACAACGCCTCACCTAAGATGGCTGGGGGAACTATTACACAGGAGCACAAGCCGAAGAAGATCAAGTTAACTTCCGGCTAAGTCGAGTAGCGGAAGAGTTTCCATGGAAACAGTAACCGGTTCCCAGGCAGGGAGCTCTCGCGGTGTTTGATGGGGCGGAAGTGACGACAAACCCTTCTTGAGGCCCTCCGGTGTGCCGGTGTCGCCCCTCCTCCCCGAGCGGCCGATTTTTCCCGCCGAGCTGCTTCTGCCGCTTGGGCCGCCCGGGGAAAACATGGCGTCTGCCTTGGAGCAGTTCGTGAACAGTGTGCGGCAGCTCTCGGCTCAAGGTGAGGTCCTGGACGGTAGCTTGGTCTGATGCGTCCTCTAGGCCACAGCGTAATGGGGCTGCTGCCCAGACGCCGGCGCGGACAGGCGGGCGGCCCTTTTCGTCCTGAGATCCTTGTATGGGGCTGGGCTCGGAGCGGTGGTGCTGAGTTCGGGTACCGGGAGTGGCTGGCTGGGCTGCTTCCCCCGGCCTCAGTCTCCATGCCTGCTTCCGTGCTGGGGGCCTGTCGGCCGCCCTCCCTTGGCCCCCAGGACCTTTACTTCACCCGGCCCGGGCCCCTTCCACGGGGCGCAGCGCAGCGCTTGACAGTTTGGGGGCGGCGACTTCCGCTGGACTCGTAGGCGCCCATTGGGCCCTTCGTCTTCATTTGCGGTCGGTGATTGGTGAGCTTCCTGTCTGTTCTGGAGGCACTGTGTTGCCTGCTGACTAGGCCGCGGGGCGGGGCGGGGCGGGCAGCAAAACTCCCGGGCGCCCGGTGTCTCGGCTCCGTTACCGATTGCCTTCCGTCGCCCGGTCGGGCCGCCCCGGCATGTCTGTATTAGCCCTGCAGAACGTAAAGAGACCTTGCCTTTAGGACTCTATTTCTAGGGGAGAAATTGTTGTTATTTTGCTCTTAATTTCTGTACTCATTTATCTCAGGTTTTGAATGTCAAGTACCACAAGACACATTCTTGGACTCAGGAGTTACAGAAGTGAGATGCTTAGTGTGAAGGCGTCTTTAGCTATTTTGTGCTTCAGGTTTATCTTTAAACTAGAAATAATAGCCCTTACCTATAGAGTTGTGGGAGCTCTGGTGGCGTAGTGCCTAACACATCTGACTGCTAACCAGAAGGCTGGTAGTTCAAACTCACCAGCCAGTCCTGGGAAGGAAGATTGGGGAATCTGCTTCCTTAAATTTTTATCAACTTCTGCAGTCTGAAATTGACAGAACATGCGCTCAGAATGTGTTAATTATCACTAGTGACTGGAATGCAAAAGTTGGAAACAAACAAGAATCACTTGTAGTTGGAAAATTTGGCCTTGATGACAGAAATAATACTGGAATGCGCATGGTAGAATTTTGCAAGACCAGTGACTTATTCATTGCAAACACCTTTTTCCAACAACACAAATGGCGGCTGTACATGTGGACTTCACCAGATGGAACACACAGGAATCAGATTGACTACATATGTGGCAAGAGGCAGTAGAAAAGCTCAGTATCTTCAGCTAAAACCAGGCCAGGAGCTGATTGTGGAACAGACCATCAACTGCTCATATGCAAGTTCAACTTGAAGTTGAAGACAAAACAAGTCCAAGAGAGCCAAAATATGATGTTGAATATATCCCTCCTGAATTTAGAGACCATCTAAAGAATAGATTTGATGCATTGAACACCAGTGACTGAAAACCCAAAGAGTTGTGGGATGATATCAAGAACATTATCTATGAAGAAAGCAAGAGATCACTAAAAAGACAAGAAAAGAGAAGACCAAAATGGATGACAGAAGAGACTCTGAACCTTGCCCTTGAGCAGAGAGTAGCTAAAGCAAATGGAAAAAAATGACGATAAAAAAGCTGAACCGAAGATTTCAAAGAGTAGCTTGAGACAACAGAGCCAGTTACTATAATGAAATGTGCAAAAACCTGGAATTAGAAAAGCAAAAGGGAAGAACACACTAGGCATTTCTCAAACTGAAAGAATTGAAGAAAAGATTTAAGCCTTAAGTTGCAATATTGAAAGATTCTATGGGCAAAATATTGAATGATGCGGGACACATCAAAAGAAGATGAAAGGAATACACAGAGTCACTGTACCAAGAAGAACTGGTTGATCTTTATCCATTTCAAGAGGTGACATATGATCTAGAACCAGTGGTATTAAAGGAGGAAGTTGAAGCTGCAATGAAGGAATTGGTGAAGAACAAGGCTCCAGGAATTGATGGAATACCCATTGAGATATTTCAACAAACAGTTGCCCCACTGGAGGCATTCACTCGGTTATGCCAAGAGATATGGAAGACAGCTACCTGGTCAACTGACTGGAAGAGATTCATATTTGTACCCATTCCAAAGAAAGGTGATCCCACAGAATGTGGAAATTATAGAACAATATCATTAATACCACATGCAAGTAAGATCTTACTGAAGATAATTCAAAAACGGTTGCAGCAGTATATTGACAGAGAACTTCCAGAGGTGAAATCTTTATTCAGAAGAGGACGTGGAACAAGATATATCATAGTTGCTATCAGATGGCTCTTGGCTCAAGGCAAAGAATAGCAGAAAGATGTATACTTGTGTTTTATTGACTATGTGAAGGCATTTGATTGTGTGGATCATGACAAATTATGGATAACATTGAGAAGAATGGGAATTACCAAACACTTGATTGTACTCGTGAGGAAATTGTTCATGGACCAGGAGGCTGTTGTTCGAACAGAACAAGGGGACAATACATGGTTTAAAATCAGGAAGGGAGTGCTTCAGGGTTGTATCCTTTCCCCATACTTATTCGATTTATATGCTGAGCAAATAATCCAAGAAGCTGGACTATGTGAAGAAAAACGTGACATCAGGATTGGAGGAAGAATCATTAACAACTCGAGATAACACTAATAATACAACTTTGCTTGCTGAAAGAGGATAACTTGAGGCACTTACTGATGAATATTGAAGAATACAGTCTGCAGTATGGATTACGTTTCAATATAAAGAAAAAAAAAATCCTTAAAACTGGACCAATGAGCAGCATCACAATAAATGGAGAAAAGATTGAGGTTGTCAAAGAATTCACATTGCTTGGTTCTACAATTGATGCCAGTGGAAGCAGCAGTCAGGACATTAGATGATGTGTGGCACTGAGCAGGTTGGTTGTGAAGGAACTCTTTCAAGTGCTGAGGAGCAAGGATGTCTTGTTGAGGACTAAGTTGTGCCTTACACATTTCAAGTGCTTAGGAGCAAGGATGTTTTCTTGAGGACTAAGTTGCACCTTACACAAGCCATGATATTTTCTGTTGCCTCTTATGCATGTGAGAGCTTGACAGTGAAAAAGGAAGACCAAAGAAGAGTTGATGCTTTTGAGTTGTGGTGCTGGCGAAGAATGCTGAAAGTACCATGGACTGCTAAAAGAACTAACAACTCCGTCCTGGAGGAAGTGCAGGCGAAATGCTCGTTAGAAGCAAGAATGGCCAGGTTTCATCTCACCTACTTTGGTCATGTTGTCAAGAGGGACCATTCCCTGGAGAAGGATGTCATGCTTGGAAGGTGTAGGGTCGACGAAAGAGGGGAAGGCCCTCAACGAGATAGATTGACGCAGCAGCTGCGACGATGGGCTCATGTTTAGCAGGGATCATGGAGCTGGTGCAGGATCGAGCAGTGTTTTGTTCTGCTGTGCATGGGGTCACTGTGAGTCAGAAATGACTCGATGACACCTAAAAACAACAACACTTCTGTAGAGATACCGCCCAAGGAGGAGTTGCTATGAGTGGGCACTGACTTGACGGCAGTGAGTTTTGTTTTTTGTTTGTTTGTTAACGAGTTGTGAGGAGTGAGTGAGAGGGACAATGTAAAAGCACTTGGAACAGTGCCTGTCATATAATGGGCAATGTTGTTGTTGTTGTTGTTGTTATGTGCCGTCGAGTCAACCCCCGACTCATAGCGACCCCTCCTTGGGTTTCCGAGGCAGTATCACTACGGAAGTAGGATTGC